TTCATAGTGCTGAGACTTAACCCCTTGTGCCACCAAGGAGGCCCTCCAAAGCCCATTCTGTTGGGATTTTATGGCAGTTCCTGCACATGGACTTGATCAATTACAACTTGTTTTTAGCCCCTCTCCTCCTCATGAGGGTGAGGGTTGGCGCTGAATATTCTAAGCTTCTAGTCATGACTAGATCTTTCTGGTGACAGCCACCATGCAAGAACCCACCCAGGTCACCTCAGTAGAAGAGCAGATGCTCCAGGTTCTCTTACCACTTAGGAATTTACAAGAATTTCAGGAGCTTTGGACCAGTGCATATATTTTGTTTTCTCATCCCAGGTAATGCTGATCTGGGGACCTGAAAAATCAGTGATTCTCAAATTTGCTGCTCACTGAAATCACCTGGGAAACTTTAAAAAAGCAATGCCTGGATTTCCCCACTGCCCCTCCTCACTGCTGCAATTTTACTGGCATCTGGTGTAACCTGGGCCTTTTAAAAGCACCCCCAGGTGATTCTAATGTACATCAAAGTTTGCGATCCACTGCTTAAAGGGTATTAGGAATAACTGTGAGGTACCCGGTACTTAGCAAGTGCAGAGAAAATAATGGTTTTCTCTTCTGGCCCCTTGCCCTGTGTTTCTCTCTTCCTCCTAGTCCTTCATCTTTAAATCAGGCAGGAAAAACTGGGGCATCAACTGTTGCCCCAAGCCTTCCTTACTAGGGTCTTGTCTGACTTGGAAGTTCTACAGCCAGTCACAGACAGCCACAGGTAATAATGCCATGAGGCCCTCCATTGGGAGGTTTAAAGGATCCCTGGGTGATTTCTAACATGCAACCAATTTTGAGATCTCATGTCTTTTATCAGGTGGCAGAAAGTAAAGGACATTGGAGTAGACAAAAGTGCCCCAGGATGGGAGAGTAGGCTTGACTCCAGGTCCCCCCAGACTCTGGTACCTACAATAAGAGGGTCAGATAGTTTTCCAGGGTGCACAGCAGTAGGGACCCCCCACTCCCCCACGTATAGGAGACAGCTGCTGCTTTCTCCCCTTCCTCTCTCACAACCAGCCCATCCTCGGCGAGGTTGCCCAGATGCCCAGGCCCTGCCACTCTGCCCTTTGCCCTGCAACAGTGTGTGAGTGATTGACTGAAGGAGAAGCTGGGATAAAGAGCCCAGTTTGCTCTGGCTGCGAGCCCGGGGGAAAGAGCAGAGGCCCCTCTGAGACTACCCCAAGGACTCTTCATTCACCAGCTTCTAGAAGCCCTTCTTTATAAGCAGCTTTACAGAGAAATATTTCTTTTTTTTTTTTTTTTTATAGAGGCATGCTTTTTTATTTATTTGTTTGTTTGTTTGTTTTGTTTTTTTTTGTTTATACATGCACTGGGTATAGTCAGAGCACGGGAGGGTGAGAGAATTCACCAGAGCCAGAGCGGGGAGCAGAGCAGGCAGAAGGACCGAAGTACACTGCTGAGGGGAGCAGCGGGCGGCAGGAGAGGTCTGCGCACCATGTGGGACCCTCCTCCGGTGGCCGGAAAGCAGCCGGGGATCGAACTGGCGCCGCAGAGCGTGCGGGCAGCTTCGCAACCCAGCGCTCAACCGCTGCGCCACCGGGGAGGCCCATACAGAGAAATATTTCATGTAGAAATCTGCACCTTCTCTCTTCAGTTTGCTGTCATCCAGTCACTGAACAGAGCTTGTGTTGCTCATTGGGACCCAGTCTGTTCCAGGGTTCTGGGTTATTCTCTGTCCCACCTGACACCTGGATTGAATAAGGCCAGACTCATGACATCCAGATCTGCTCCAATAAATACAAAGAGGGGATCAAACTAGGAGGCTTCTTGTCATGATCTAGGCTCTGGCAGGCACCGTAACCGCCGAGGCCTTGGGCCAGGATGGAAAGAAGAGCAAATCCACAGGGCCCAGGACTAAGCCGTCTCTGCCCCAAAGCAACTCTTCAGCCTCTTCTCTCTAGCCCCATCAATGGGGCTCTTACAGGTGGCACAAGGGCTCCCTGCTCCCCAATTCTGCTTCAAGAGCCCTCAGGCAGGTCAGCTGGTTCCCTGGGGGAAATTCCAGTGGGGAGGCAACCAGTCTTTTCTGGTGGCTCAAGGTGATTTCAATTTTCTGGGGGGCCTGGGAAGGCACCCTGTGATTAGCAATAGTGAAAAAATGTTTTATTAGTCACAACTGCACAGTTCATACTCTCTGTTGTCATTTAAGCTGCAGCTTCAACAAGCCCCTTCCGAACGTCTGTGGCAAGTACTGGATCAGGGTCTTTCACACAGCACAGGGGTTCAGGCCTGAGGCTGGGGTGGGGGCTCGAGTCTCACCTCTTTGGTAATCAGCTGCGTGATCTTGGGCTTGTTGCTCTCAGTTTCTGCAGTTTTTCCCTTTTTCTTTTTTGTTTTTAAAGATTTATTTAGCCGTGCATACAAGAGCTGGGGTATAGGCCAGGGATTTGGGGGCTGAGAGGATTCACCAGAGACATTGGGGAACAGAACAGGCAGAGTGACCGAAGTACAATGCTAAGGGGAGCAGCAGGCGAGTCAGGAGAGGTCTGCCGCTCCATGTGGGTTGCTCCCCAGCCGGCTGGGGATCGAACTCGTGCTGCAGAGGCAGCGGATTGCTTCATAGTGTGGTGCTTAACCCCTTGCGCCACCAGGGAGGCCCAGTCTGCATTTCTTGACTGGGGAGAGAAGCAGTACCTCTTAGGGTGAGGACAGAGACTGTCTGCCAAGGGTTTAGTGCAGCTTACCCGCCAGAACGTGGGCAGTCTAGAAGCATGGGAAGGCGCATGGGCAAGTTGGCAGCAGCCTCTCAGTTAGTGGGAACATCCAAGTTTGTTTTATTTCTGTAACATTAAAAAAAACTTTTTGATACACTTTAATTTTTATTGAGGTAACGTTGTTTTACACTCCCTTCAGTGTTACCACACTATACCCACCACCAAGACTACCCATTGTCCTTCTCCATAGTTCATCATGCTCCTCCCAATTTTCTCTTCCCCACCTTTTAATTATATTATTTTTAAAGATTTTTAAAAAATTATTTATGCACACAAGAACTGGGGTGTAGGCCAGAAGTGCAGGGGGTGAGAGAATTCACCAGAGACAGAGAAAGGAGCGGAACAGGCGGATCTCCTGAAATACACAGCTGAGGGGAGCAGCGGGCGAGACAGGAGAGGTCTGCTGTGCCAAGTGGGTTAGGTGCAGTGGCTGGTGATAGTTTGATAGTGCTGACTTTAACCCCTACACCACCAGGGAGGCCCTGTTCTTTGTTTTAATTGAGATAACATTGTGTAGGGAAACTGGAGTTAAATCAAGGTTTTCCTCCGGCCTTCCTGCTGCTAGCCTGTATGGCCGGCACCTGGGGTCTCACAGTCCTCCCACTTATATGCACGGACTCCCGGGGCCAGGAGGTGTGGGTGCAGGCACGGGCACCTATGATTTGGGACACCTGGGCCCAGAGGGCATGGGGCGTGAGTACATGTAAATACTGATACCTGGGCCCGAAGTGGGAGCTAAAAGGGGCTTCTCAGCTCTGGTGCATGGCAGCGGCATTTCTCTAAGGCCTGGCCTCAGTTGCTGCCTCCCTGCCTACTGGTCTGTCCCCTGATTCAGCATTGAAAGCCTGTAAAATCTACCGAGGACTCCAAAATTCTCTTTTCGTCTGCCTGAATTGACAATGAACCTACCCGGCCTATGATGGTTGCACACACACTGGTTTATTTTACAATTCTGTATCTGATTTAGGGACGCAGGTTCAGATCTCTTCAAATATATGTCATCACACCATAACCACCACAGCCCTCTACCACAGCCCACTGGGCTCCTGTAGGGGCAGGAAGTGGCACAGGGCAGGTTTTCTGATCCAGCAGACCTGGTAAAGGAGGAGAGAGTCCTGGAACCCTCCGTGGCTTTTGCAGGCTTTTATTGGGATTTACCAGGCACACGGCAGGCAAGTATGCTGGCGGGCCGGGAGGCTAGCAGGCCTCCCAGCCCCCCAGCAAGTCTTCACTCTTTCTGGGCTCTCCGGCCTTCTCTCGTGTTCTCTCTGCTTCTGCTTCTGCTTCCTTCTTTGCTTCTCGGCTTCTGCTGGCGTCCCCGTGACGCCGCCCTTAGAAGCCCAGTCTCAGCCCAGGTGAATCCCATCTACCTCCGCCCACACCGTACTCCAGGCGCCCGCCATCAGGCATGCATTCGGGACCGCAGGGTTCCATCATCTATCTTGATGGCGGGAGGGCAGAAAAGCCTGATACTTTTACCTTACCCTACAGCTCCCTTCCCCACTTTGCTTCCCACCCCACTCCCCCCTTCTAGTAGCCTCAATTCTATAGTAACATTTCTAGGATTCGTTTTGATTTAGTTTTGTCTGTTCCTTTGTTTTGTCTCTTTATATTCCACATATCAGCAAAACGACCCAGTATTTGTCTTCAAGAACCTCAGTCTTTCTGGCTATTTCCAAAGCTCATGCTCCTGCTGGGCCCCATATTGCCCCTTCCTGCTGCAGAGTCTTCTCCCTTTGGCTTGTATTCTACTTTGCATGTGGGCCAAAGATTAGACCCTTTTCTGTTGCCTGTGCTGAGAACCCTCTTCCTGAGTCAGGAGCCAGTGAGCAAAAGGTCTGGGCTGCCCAGTGACTGTGTCCCTGTCCCCCCTTCTGAACACCAGCTGGGTCCTGGCACCTAGGGTTAGTTTCCCGCCCGCACTCTCTCCCAGGGCTGGTAAACCAACCCTCTGTCTGTATCCAAGCAAACAGATCAGGTACTTTGTATTCCCTGAGGGAGTCTCTCTCTGCCTTACCTCATGGTCTGCTAGCAGTGAGAAACTTAGCTGGCACCCAAGAGGCTGGAGGAGAAAACTTGATTCTCATTGGGATCCAAGAAGCCCCATCTGGGACATCTTGCGTGCCCCTCCCCCTGCAGAAGGACCACAGAACAGGGAGCCAAACCTCTTGAACTACAGATGCTGTGGTCCTTTGAAAAACCTGTTTTTCACCCCCCGTGTGTCCCCAGGCCATGGAGAGCAAGCTGCTCATCGGGGGCCGGAACATCATGGATCACACCAATGAGCAGCAGAAAATGTTGGAACTGAAGAGGCAGGAGATTGCCGAGCAGGTAAGCTTGGGGCCTTCCGATCCCTGGGAGCTCATGGCCATGAGGTCACATCTGGAGAGTATAGGACAGAAAGCCATCATGGACTCAGGATCCCTGGAATTACATGCTGAGACCTTAAGATATTTCCCCTCAGCCTCCCAATCCCATGGGTCACCATAGGTCCACCTGCCTCTGGCTGGTAGCAGGTGGGGAGCAGATGTGGCAGCCTTCACAATGGCAGCCTCGCAGGTCGCTGATACTGACTCCTGGCCTTCCACAAGGGGTGAGTTCCAACTCTTGGGGAAGGCTGAGCCTTCTGTATGTGTGTTGACAACCCTGGAATGTGCCAGCTCTCAGTGGGGTCTCCCCATGGGGCAGTGCTGGCCAGTGCATTGCCATGTGAGCCCAGAGAGGCTCCACTACGGCTGGGGTGGGAGCAGTGGGGTGCTCCCTTCTCCCGCTTGGCACCGGTGGCCACAGTGAGGCCGGGTGCCATGAAAGTCTGAGCTCCCTGGACTGCCCCACTGCATGCTGCTCCGCTGAGCCCTGCACCCTGCCTTGGCCTAGAAACGCCGCGAGCGGGAAATGCAGCAGGAGATGATGCTCCGGGATGAGGAGACCATGGAGCTCCGGGGCACCTACACGTCCCTACAGCAGGAGGTGGAAGTCAAAACCAAGAAACTCAAGAAGGTGAGATGCCACAGCAGGATGGTGCCGAGCCGTGCTGAGGGGTGTGTGTTTTAGGGACCCTTCCCTATTTTGCTTGAACTGCTGAGCCCCTAAGTTATATTGCCTGGGCTGACGGGGGGAGGAGAGGAAAGAGGCAGGTGCTTGTGTTGGGCTGAGTAGACACGGAATAGAGGTGTCCTCTTGCCAGGCTGGCCTGATGGGTGGGGAACACTGTCACTTCCGGTCTCCAATTGCTATCATCATGACCCTGGGGGACCCCTGTACAATGTCACCGTGTGCATGGCTGGGCCAGAAAGGCCAAAGGAGTGATGAGGAGGCCTGAGTGAGCCAGGGAGGAGGCACAGGTCCTCGAGGATACGTGATGGGTTGAAAATATACAGCCACCAGCATCCTGCAAAGTCCGTGGCCAGGGAGAAGCATGTGTGTGAGGGGAGGGCAAGGAGCAGCAGGATCCAGAGCTCTTAGGGTCACAGCGTGGCTTCCCCAAAGCAGACCAGACAGAGGCCCATTGTCTCCAGGATCACACCTCTTGGGTTAGCTGTGTCCACACCCTGTAGCGGCAGGAGGGGATGATGCAGGATCGCCATGATTTGAGCAGACAGGGTAAAGGAGTCCTAGGAGCCCTCAGTGGCCTTTTCAGGGATTTTATTGGGATTTACCAGGTACACAGCAGGCAGGGGTGCTGGGGGGCCGGGAGGCTGGCAGGCCTCCCAGGCCCCAGCAAGTCTTCACTCTTTCTGGGCTCACCGGCCTTCTCTCGTGGCGTGGCCTCTGCAGCTCTGCTCCTTTTGCTCTGCTGTTTCGCTGTTATTTTTGCTCTGCTGGTGTCCCCCGACGCCGCCCTTATAAGCCCAGTCGCTCAGCCCTGGTGTACACACTTACGCATGCCCACGCCATACTCCAGGTGCCCGCCATCAGGCATGCATTCAGGACCGCAGATCCATCATCAATCCTAATGGCAGGAGGGCAGAAAAGCCTGATACCTTACTTACCCTACACACCCCCTCTTTTGAGCACCCCTCGAGAAGCGGGACTGGGGTGGGTCACCTTCCAAACCAGCGAGAACGTTCCCCTCCCTGAGCTCCGGGTCTCTAAATCCAGGTCTCTCTGGCTCCCCTGGACCAGTGGGGACGCATGGGTCCTGATCCTGGCCCTGCTACTAACTAACTGTGTGATCTTGAGCGAGTGGGCACATGAGCTTCCTCATGTATAACAAGAGGGCCTAAAGGGTCTCGGGTCCCTTCCAGCTGGAACATTCTGCCATGCTGGTGGCAGCCGAGAGAGCAGGTGGGAGAGCGGGAGCCCCAGGACTCGAGGTCCTGGCCTCATCCTGGCTGAGCTGGTAGGTGCTGAGTTTGGAGCCATCAGGCTCGGGCCCAGACGGGGCTCTGAGCTGCACCTGTCCCCACCCAGCTCTACGCCAAGCTGCAGGCGGTGAAGGCGGAGATCCAGGACCAGCACGACGAGTACATCCGTGTGCGGCAGGACCTGGAGGAGGCGCAGAACGAGCAGACCCGGGAGCTCAAGCTCAAGTAGGGCGCCCTCCCATCAGGTTCTCACAGCCAGCCCTCACCCCGACCCTCTCCCCGAGAGGCTGCTGTCCCTGAGGCCCCGTTCAGACAGCCTAACCCCCTGCGTCCAGGTGTCTAAGGACATGTCTGAGAGATGTCCTCCTTCCTCTTTTCCTTCCGCTTTTCTGCTGGTATTTGCTGAACCCCCAAAGTGCATGCTGGTGGTGGCCAGAGGTAACCCCTAGGGCTCTGAGTCGATGATCTTTTCCTCAGAACCCGTCATTTTCAAGCTCTGTTATTTCTGCAGAGGTGGCCTCTCCCAGACTTTGCCCCCATCTGCTGTTCCTCCACTCTCTTTGCTTTTGCTTCTTGCTCCTAATCCTCCCATCTTCACAAACACCGTGTGTCTCTCTCTCACTCCCCACCTTTGCCTCACTGCTGCGCCCAGGTATCTAATCATTGAGAACTTCATTCCCCCTGAGGAGAAGAACAAAATCATGAACCGGCTTTTCCTGGACTGTGAGGAGGAGCAGTGGAAGTTCCAGCCACTTGTGCCAGCTGGAGTGTGAGTGTCTCCCTCAGGGTGGGGCTTACAATCCTGCTCCTTGCTGTCTGGGAGGGGGTTTTGGGGCAACAGGTTTTGGGAATGCAGAGCGAGGGGGAAGATGCGGATGGAGTGCATCTCTCAGGGCTTAATGTAGGGGCCTCCAAGAAGGAAATGTGTCTGGGCCTCCCCGGTGGTGCAGCGGTTGAGCGCTGGGTTGCAAAGCTGCCCGCAGCCTCTGCAGTGCCAGTTCAATCCCCGGCCACTGGCGAGGGTCTCACATGGCACACAGACCTCTCCTGCCGCCCACTGCTCCCCTCAGCAGTGTACTTCGCCGGTCTACCTGTTCTGTTCCCCACTCTGGCTCTGGTGAATTCTCTCACCCTCCCGCGCTTCTGACTATACCCGGTGCTTGTGTAAATAAATAAATAAATCTTTTTAAAAATTTTAAAAAGAAAAAAAAAGAAGGAAGTGTGTCCTGGCAAAGATGAAGTGTCTCGACCTGCGAGGCAGAAAATACCCCATAAGGGGCCCAAGGAGCATGGGAGAGCGTCTCAACCCTTGGCCTCCCAATGAATGCTAACATTTGGCCAGCCTGGTGAATACTTCATTGTCAGGCACCAAAATCAGCAACACTAGTTACCATTTGCCAAACACTGCGCTGGGTCCTGTAGGAGACTCTGCAGAGAGAAGGTAAATCAGACATGTCAGAGCTCACAGTCCAGTGGAGAATACAGGGACGGAGTCAGATTGGCCAGTCTTGACAGCCTCTCTCAGCCAGGTGATTCAGCATTTCCACCTGTTTCCATCCTAATCCTTAGGTACAGTTTGCTGGGGTGCAGCGCCCTCTGCTGGTGTCCCTGAAGAATAAGCCTGTGTATTCAAACCCAACCCAGTGACGCCCTCACTCAGCGTTTCTGATAGAAAATCTGTATGCAGAGATGTTTAGGAGACTGAATACTAATGACCTTTGCTGGAGGTTCTTTGCTCTCTCCATCCTAGGAATATTAATGCCAAGGTAGGGTAGAAGCTGGCTGGAGCTGTCCATAGCTTCTCATTGGAATATCAGATACTGATTTAATCTGTCTCCTTTCTGAAAGGCCAGTTCCTATGCAGGTTTATAAATAGCAAGTTCTTAAGTAGAGGAATTTCAGCGGTGTCAGTTTGGACATATAATGTACTTTTCCAATCTGAGCAGAGACCCATAATCGTGCAGCAGAGAGCCTTCCCTGGCTGCAGCTAGAATCTTCTGTGAGTTCGACTCCAGAGATTCTGATTTTTAAGGGTCCTAAATACAAACAATTCCCATTTACTCTCACCAGTTGTTAGCATTTGGCCACATTTTGCTTTATTAATCCTGCTTCCCCCCACCATCAGAGACTAAATAGCAGATATCCTTATCTTTTTTTTTTTTTTTTAAATAGAGGCATTTTTTTTTTATTTATTTATTTGTTTGTTTGTTTGTTCGTTTATACATGCACTGGGTACAGTCAGAAGCATGGGAGGGTGAGAGAATTCACCAGAGCCAGAGCAGGGAGCAGAGCAGGCAGAAGGACCGAAGTACACTGCTGAGGGGAGCAGCGGGCGGCAGGAGAGGTCTGCGCACCATGTGGGACCCTCCTCCGGTGGCTGGGGAGCAGCCGGGGATCGAACCGGCGCGGCAGAGGCCGCGGGCAGCTTCGCAACCCAGCGCTCAACCGCTGCGCCACCGGGGAAGCCCGATATCCTTATCTTTGATCTGTCTTTTTAATTTTTTTCAAAGGTTTTTTTTTTAAGATTTTTTTAATTTATGCATTCAAATTGCTGGGGTCTAGACCAGATGTGTGGGGAATGAGAGGATTCACCAGAGAGAATGGGGAGCAGAACAGGCAGACTGACTGAAATACACTGCTGAGGGGAGTAGCGGGCGAGACAGGAGAAGTCTGCTGTGCCATGTGGGTTAGCTCCCTGGCCTGGGATCGAGCTCTGGCCATAGTGGTGGACCTTCACCATGGTAGCACTGAGATTTAACCCCTACACCACCAGGGAGGTCTTGATCTGTATTTCTTAAGAATAAGGACCTTCTCTCGTATAACCACAATACAGTGATCAAATTCAGAAAATTTTATATTAACATATATAGACAACACTCAGTTCTACCCAGTAATCCCAATAATAGCCTTTGTGGGAATTCCTTCCACTCTTAGCCCTTTAGAGTATGCATTGCATATAATTTTCATACCTCTTTTCCTCTCATATAAAAAATTTTATTTTGTTAATCCTCTCATGAAATATCTGCACCATCTAATCTAAATTTCATACTTTTAAATAACTCAGATAACTTTGAAATTAAATAACCTTTCAGATAACTTATTTTTTGTTTTGTGAAAATAAAATGGTTTGTCTACGGAAAAGCCACTCACAGATTGTTAAAATTAAGTTATCTTAAAATATACTCTTGAAATTATTTTGTAGTATAAATGCCAGTAGTAACTTTTACAAAGAAAGGCTTCCAAAATAGAGCTAGATATCACTGCTCACTACTTGTTGCCTGGCCTAACTCTGTCTCTTATTCCTCTTTTCTGCTCTAAGGCAGATTTGCTCTTTATATGCTATTTGTGGGCCTCAGAAGGGCCTCTGGTGGCAGTTCTAGGCTGGCCTCTGGAGCTGGTTGCCTGCAGTGTTTTTCCCCACCTTTCCGCTCTCTTCTGATCATCATCCTTCTTGCTGGAAGAAGGTCATGCAGAAAGAAAGGTCTGGGTTTTATGCCGTTAGGAAGTCTGAAGACTCTGATCATTCCTCAAAGACTACTTGCCTTAGCTTACCTCTACACTGTTTTCTTTTCCATAACTCTTTGCTCTTTGGGAAGAATCTGTTCCCAATTGCAGGACTGAGTTAGTGGGGTTTTTTGGTTTTTTTTTTTTTTGAAGAATTGGTGTAGACCAGAGGTGGGGGGGTGCGGTGAGAGGGTTTACCAGACACAGAGTGGGGAGCAGAACAGGCAGATCTACTGAAATACAATGCTGAGGAAACCAGCGGGCAAGACGGGAGAGGTCTGCTGCACCATGTGGGTAGCTCCCTGGCCAAGGATTGAACTCAGGCTGTACTCAGGCCATAGTGGTGATGGCGCTGAGACTTAACCCCTAGGCCACCAGAGACGCCCTTTAGTGGTGCTTCTAACTGGATCCCAGTTGGACTGCGTTCAATTTTGTGTTGATTTTATATGTTCAAATTTTATATTAAAAATGTAAAGAAATTAATTTATTCACAAGTTTTTTCAAAATTTTGGTTCAACCTATTCACAACTTAACCTTGCTATCTTGTACAAAACATGTATGTACCTGCTCACAGTACATACAGAATTTATACTTTGTATAGAAAATATCCAGATATGGGCCTCCCCAGTGGCACAGCGGTTGAGTGCTGGGTTGTGTAGCTGCCCGCAGCCTCTGCAGCACCGGTTCGGTCCCCGGCTGCTCCCCGGCCACCGGAGGAGGGTCCCACAGGGCGCGCAGACCTCTCCTGCCGCCCGCTGCTCCCCTCAGCAGTGTGCTTCGGTCCTTCTGCCTGCTTTGCTCCCTGCTCTGGCTCTGGTGAATTCTCTCACCCTCCTGCGCTTCTGACTGTACCCAGTGCTTGTATAAATAAATAAATGAATGAATAAATAAAGAAAGAAAGAAAGAAAAGAAAATATCCAGATGTATCTGAGTAAGGGTAAAAGATATTCAGGCAATCCCGACATACTAATGTTCTCTGCTGTTCTTAATTGCAAATGTTATAAACTATTATTAAAGATTTCCCTAAGAAAAAACTCCAATAAATGAATTACTTCAAAAAGACTTATTAATAAATACTAGGTAATAAACAGAACTGCATGTAATGTTAAACTACTCCTATAATTTTTAAAAAATGTTTCAATGTCAGCCCATTTTACTGTCTGGTAATCACAATAAGTCACATTTATTTCAGAACTTTAAAAAGATCACAAAAATACAAAAGAACAGTAAAAATAAACCTAGAACATTTTCATAGGAAACAAATTTTTTTTTAAAGATTTATTTATTTATACATGCACTGGGTAAAGTCAGAAGTGCGGGAGGGTGAGAGAATCCACCAGAGCCAGAGCGGGGAGCAGAGCAGGCAGAAGGACTGAAGCACACTGCTGAGGGGAGCAGCGGGTGGCAGGAGAGGTCTGCGCACCATGTGGGACCCTCCTCCGGTGGCCGGGGAGCAGCTGGGGATCGAACCGGCGCTGGAGAGGCTGCGGGCAGCTTCGCAACCCAGTGCTCAACCGCTGCGCCACTGGGGAGGCCCCAGGAAACAAATTTTTTAAATTACTTTTTTGTTAGCAGCAGTGGGTGGTTGAAAGAAAGTAATTCCCTCATAATTAGAATCCCAATTGGGATTCTGACTCAATCCAGAAGCCATGGGATAGCTTCATAGCCCAGATCTTTGAAATAATCTGCTCCAAGCCCCTCATTTCACAACTGAAGGTTGAAAGTGGGGAGGTCCTTGAACTCAACCTCCCCCATTTCAGGGAACCTCAGGTGGGGCAAGCTGCCTCCCTGGCTGAGAGGGCTTCCTCTCAGCACTGGGTTCCATTCTTTGCAACATAACTTAATTAGGCCTGAAAAGCTCTTTCTTCCCAAAGCATATTTAACTAATCAGAGCCTTGTTCCATGTGCTCCATCCAACTGTGGCATAATTTGCTCTCCTTTTACTGTGCTGTTCTGGAGATGTGAACATGGAAGGCAGCTCACAGGGAGAGAGAAAAGGCATTGTTTGAAAGAAATTACCTCAAGTCATGCTGTCCCTTTAGAAAGTTTTGGTTGGAAAAGCATTTGCCCTCTTGCCATGCAAGCTACTTGCACCTACCCCACCCACCCTTCCCTGCCCCACTGTCTAAAAGCAAGGAGTTATTGTCAAGAAGGGGCAGAGACCCACATGTTTTGCAAGTCCATCACCCCTTTTCCTTTTTCCTCCTGTCTCTTGTGCCTCTGCCACAGGTGAGGTACACTCCGATCAGGAACAGTTGTTGTTGTTGTTTTTAAGATTATTTATGTATGCACACAAGAACTGGGGTACAGGCCAGAGGTACAGGGGTTGAGAAGATTCATCAGAGAAAGAGTGGGGAACAGAACAGGCGCATTAACCAAAACACACTGCTTAGGGAAGCAGCAGGCAAGACAGGCGAGGTCTGCTGTACCATGTGGGTCAGCTCCCTGGCCAGGGATCGAACTCGTATAGCAGTGGCTGTGGATAGCTCCATAGTGCTGACACTTAACCCCTTGCACCACCAGGGAGGCCCAGGAACAGTTTTATAGTAAGACTACTTAGTAAAAACATCCTTGCCTCCAGCTCCCGGAAGATTTTACTGTCTTACAAACATGACCTTTTATTTTCAGTTTCACATAGACTTTAATGTTAAGTGTATTTATACAAAACTGTCTCCTGTGAACTGGCTTGCAGTTCACAGAATTCTTTTGGTAACTTTAGCCTGTCAGCCTTTGCATCTCTAGTCACCCCAGATTCTTCTCAGAGGCATCGTGGTGCAGTAGCAAGAGAAAGGACCTTGGATCGAAAACACTGAATTCTCATCCCCTCTCTGCCACGTACCTGTGACCTCGAGCAGGTTTTGACTCCTGTGAGCCTACGTTCTTCACATGTTGTCCGGATGATAAATTTGCCCTGCCGGGTCACTGAGGTTGAAATGGGGTGCCAGGCCAGGATCCGGCCCAGAGGAGACGGTCCTCACAGTCGCCACCTCACCCAGGAGCTATTGTTAGTGTCAAGGAGGCAGGAGCTGTTGTTACAGTGGCGAGGACTCCGCAGGAAGCAGGCCGCCTTCATCCCTAGAAGCCCATAGCAGGGTAGTTTGATTTGTTGTTTTATTTCAGATTTTGATGTTACATCTAAGCTGCCTCCGAGTTTAAAGCGCGAGCATTCCTTGCTCTAAATAGAATCAGGTTAGAGAGTTGAAGTGGGTTCATTAGCCATGCAAGGTTTACCTCAGAGAGAACATTCTCAGCTCTGGGCTGAGTCCCTCGATTTATTCACTGGCCTGCTGGAGTGCAGGAGGGAAGGTTCCCGCCCTCCCAGGCCGGCAGTGGGACAGTGTGAGGGGCAGTGTGAGGGGGAGGGATGGGGTAGACAAGCAGGGGGTGCTACGAGGCCAACAGCTGCCCCTTGGGGACACATGGATCATGCAGCCAAGGCAGATGCAGGGGAAGGGCCTGGACGGAAAACACAGCCTGTGACATTGGAGCCTGCAGTGTTCAGAACCGGAGAAAGAAAGGGGGTGACCAGACAGAGCTGGTAATGACAGTGGCGTCAGCCCCTGAGGTGGAGCTGAGAGGGAGAAAGATGGGGCTGGCTCCCTATTGAGGGAGAGTCTGAGAGAACCTGGGGAGTCCATGGAGCACAGGATGGCTGTGGTCCCTGCTGGGAGGGGGGCTGTAAGCACAGCCAGGCCTTGGCTCTGGGCAGCCGGCCACAACCCACGCTACAAGGGATCGAGCGTGGAAAGGAGCCTGGGGCCCAAGAGGGAGTAGTGGGAGTTTGGTGTCCCACTTACAGGCTCCCCTCCCCCTGCCCCTTCTTTCTGTGTGCCACCCCAGAATAGCCCTGGCATCCTCACTGGGTCAGTTCACACTGCTCACCCAGCCCTGGCCCTCAGTCCTTTTCCCAGAGTCTGCAAGCTGCAAGGCGGCTTTCGTCCCAGGCTGTTGTGTGTGACCTGAAAAGACAGCGCACCATCCTAAAGGGGATTTGGGAAGGTTCAGTTTCTGGTTGCTTCCTAACTCTATAACTTTTTTTTTATTTTGTGGGACCCTTGCCAAGCAGGCAGGGAATGAACCAGCACTGCAGAGGCTGCGGGCAGCCTCGCAGCCCAGCACTCAACTGCTGCGCCACCAGGGGAGACCCCTAACTCTGTAACTTTTGAACCTAAAAGGCACCTGGCTTTTCTGAGCCTTAGTCTCCTTATCTGTCAGGACTTCATTGTCAAGTTCAAATGGGATGCATAGATGCAGCTTATCAATGATCAGTAATTTTACTAATGTCATCCTGTCCTCCTCTTGAGCTGTCAGGAGGCAGTGGCGCCCCACATCCAATCTCCCCACCTCTAGGAGGCTCCCCGCAGCAGGGCAACTAGACTTCTGCCTCCTGATCCTTGTTTTTGTCTCTAGAGAGGGGCCATCAGGGACCCCTGAGTGGGGTCCAGTGCTCCTTTATGGGATGGATGAAACGAACCACAAGAATGCTACTTCTCAGTGCTCTCTGCTGCAGAAGGCAGGCCTTGTTCTTCCTGCACAGCTTGTTCTCTTCAAAGACAGAATGTCCCACCCGCAAATTACTTGGCCTGTTTCGTCTCCTCTGTCTTCTGGCTTTTTTCGTGGCTTGTGTGTATCCCTGGTGGAAATTAGCAAGTGGAATTAACAATAACCCTCCCAGGCCTGCGTTGAGCCCTGGTGGTGGACTGCGCTAAGGGCTGTTCTTGTTTAATCTCAGCTGTGCTATATGATGGAGATAAGAGGCTCAGCGACATTAAGCAACTTCCCAAGGTAACAAAACTTTAAGGGGCAGAACCAACATTCAAACTCCAATCTGTCTTTCTCCAAAACCTGTGCCATTTTTTTCAAAGCAGAAATACCTTTCCCATTTTCTTTCCTTGTTTGAGTAATAAAATTAATACACACTCATCAGACTACTGAAAATAAAACATCTGCCACACCATGGACAGAACACAGAGCAATGGAAACTTTGCTAGGTGTAGCCACTTTGAAAAGTGACTTGGCAATATCTAGTCTAGAGGAAAATGCACAGATCCTACCGTGCAACATTTCCAATCCTGGGTGTAGATGCTGGAGAACTTGCTGAATAGATACCTTAAGATACCCGTACAGGACCTCCCTGGTGGCACAAGGAGTTAAGACCCAACCTGTGAAGCTGTCCTCAGCCACTGCAGCACAAGTTCAATCCCTGGCCAGGAAGCTACCCACATGGTGCAGCAGACCTCTCCTGACTCACCCACTGCTCCCCTCAGCAGTGTATTTCAGTAGATGTGCCTGTTCTATTCCCAACTCTGTCTCTGGTGAATCCTCTCAGCCCTCCACACCTCTGGCCTGTACCCCAGTTCTTGAATGCATAAATAAATAAATCTTTAAAAAAAATACCTGTACAGAAATGTTCACGTTTGTATTCATAACAGCGCTGTGTTGAAGAGATAAAAGGGGGAGGGAGGAGAATTAACCTAGATGCCCATCAGCAAGAGAAAAAGAAAAAATATATGAAATGCTATATTTAATCCTTAAAATATTCAATGTAGTTAAACTTTAATAAGTTAATCTTGAACTGCACTGCATGAATAAATCTAAAAATCAGGCTTGTTAAGCACAAAAAAAAGTCAGCATACAGAGTGCAAGGTAGGGGCCCAACTTCAATTTTTGGCCTATGGATAGTCAGTTGTTCCAGCATCACTTATTTGTGAAAAGGCTATTATCTCACCATTGAATGGTCTTGGCAGCCTTGTCGAAAATCAGTTAGCCATGATGTATGGGTTTACTTCTGGTCTCTCAATTCTGCCCCACTGGTCTACATATTTTTCTTTGTACAAGTTACATACCATCTTGATTACTGGCTTTGCATTAAGTTTTTTTTTTTTTTTAAGATTTATTTATCATTCAAGAGCTGGGGTACAGGCCAGAGGTGTGGGGGATGAGAGGATTCATCAGAGATAGTGGGGAACAGAACAGGCAGACTGACTGAAAAACACTGCTGAGGGGAGCAGCGGGCGAGACAGGAGAGGTCTGCTGCACCATGTGGGCTGCTCCCTGACTGGCTGGGGATCGAACTCATGCTGCAGAGGCTGCGGACAGCTTCACAGGCTGCATCTCAACCCCTTGTGCCACCAGGGAGGCTCTGCAATAAGTTTTGAGACTAAGAAATGTGACTCCTCCAACTTTGTTTGTTTTCAAGATTCCTTTGGCAACTTTAGGATCCTTGCATTTCAAGCCCAAGGTTTTAATTATTTTATTGTGCTCATTTCTATGAGGAAATGAAAAAAAGAGCCACCCATCACCAGTGAGTCTTTGTATGAATTTGAGTCAGTGTATGAATTTGAAAAATAAGATAAGATTGAAAAAGTATGTGTCCCCTTGTGTTATGCTAATTTTAGTTGTCTAGTTACATCAGCACATGGGAAGGAAATTCCAGAACCTGTGCTCTGCAGGGCCTCCTGGCTACCTGAATGATACTAACTTCATCATGATGTCATTTTTCTTTTGTGCTAGAAGGAAATTATTCTAATAAGGGAATAATAGCAAGCCTCTTCCCTACAGCAATAACAGCCAAATGAAGAAACGGCCGACATCTGCAGTGGGCTACAAGAGGCCCATCAGCCAGTACGCTCGGGTTGCCATGGCAATGGGGTCGCACCCCAGGTACAGGGTAAGAAGCTGGGCAGGAGAAGGAGGGAGGGCAAGGGAGGCTATGCTCACAGCTCTGGTTCCTCTATATCCCTCCCACCCTCCCTCGCTGCCCCCATGTTTACTGCGTGGTGCAGTCCTTGGGGCAGCTGCTTATGCCTGGTGTGATCTTCCTGCCACAGGCTGAAAACATCATGTTTTTGGAGTTGGATGTGTCCCCTCCAGCTGTCTTTGAGATGGAATTCTCTCATGACCAAGAACAAGACCCCCGGGCACTACACATGGAACGGCTCATGCGGTTGGATAGTTTTCTGGAAAGACCATCCACGTCTAAAGTCCGGAAGTCCAGATCCTGGTAAGTGCCACCACGGTCAGTGTGGGCTGTGGGCTCAGGGCATCCACCTGGGCTGGCTGGGGCTGAGCTGGGTTTGGGGGGTACCCAGAGACCATGAAGAGAGGGCAGCGATGATGGGGGGCCCTGGGGCTGGGGAGTTTCTACTGCAACAAGGTGAGGAAAGACCTCACTATCCTGGCACTTCTCAAACCTCCTGATTCACCCACCTCATCCCTACCCGCTGCAGGTGCCAGAGTCCTCAGCGGCCTCCGCCTGCCACCACACATGCCTCGCTGGCCCCCACTGCTCTGCGCCCCACGACAGTGCTAGACCATGAGTGACACCCTCAGGCAGACTGCCCATCAGACGGACTTCTGGGATGGGGCAGCCGGCCCTGGATCATCTCATCCGCCTCTTAGTGTGTGTGTGTGTGTGTGTGTGTGCATGTGCGCGTGTGTGCGTGCGTGTGTGTGTGTGAGGGGGTGGGAATCTGGCAGGTGTGCCTCTGCCTGCCCTTCTTAGCCTCCCTTATTTAATTAATGTTATTTATTCGTGGAGCTCAGTTAGTGTGGGAGTGATGCCCTCGCCTGAGCCTGCCGTGGTCACTGCACAGCCTTCTTTTCTCCTGACTAGCCCCTCACTCCCCAGTCACACCTCAAGCCTCTCCCTGTCACCTGCCTCCAGAAGGGAAGGTGGCCAGTGCCTGAGAAGAGAGCACTTTTCCTGTCGGTCTCACATCATCATCACCATCTCCTCCCACACAAGGCGAGCAGCTCCCAAGCACTTTCTGAGACTAGAAGACCGCTGGGTACCCTCTGAGGACGAGAGAAGTCCTGAGGGTTTGGGCCTGTGCTCCCATTGGCCAGAGCTCTGCTCTGCACTCTCTGGGCCTCAAGCACCTCTTTCAACTTCTTGGGCTCCTTTTCAAGGACTGTAAATGACCTCATCAACACAGCCCAAGCTCTTCAGCTTCAGCAAGAACCTATGGCTTCTCAAACTCGGCTTTTGGCCACCTTCCTGACCCTCAGAAGGAAATTGTGAACCTACCAGTTGCTGCCTCCTCAGGACCTCCAGGAAATGAAACAGTAATGGAGACAACATTGAATCATCAAGGGAAGACCCTCCTTTGGGACCCTTGGTTTCTTTCTCCTCCATGAAGTAACTTTGGCCAACAAGCCATCAAGTCAACTTCCTGTTTCTGAGATGCCGCTCTCTCAATCATTTTCCTGCAGCGCATAGTGGAGCCATCAATGTCTTTCTCCCTGCTGGCTCAACAAAGGAGTGGGAATCTGTTGCTTTTCCTGCTCGTGGAGCACGGGAGTCAGAGACCCCGGCACAATCAGCCAGCTTTGCCTGTTACCCTGGATTCTGGATCACATTGTTGGGCACTGTTTTGTCGAAACCTAAACCTTTCTTCAGCAGTATGCACAGTGGTCCCTGGGGAAATGCTCTTCACCTACCTTTGCGACACCTAAATATCTCCAGGTATCTCAAGTGATAAGTAAATTTCTACCAAAAACAGAGAGAGAGAGAGATTAGTTTTCATTGACTTACTCATTAAGTGTATATTTTGGTGGAGGGATGAAGTGATCATGAGCAAAAACAAGTGGCTTAGGATTTCCATGCCCCCTGCTGGTGGGAGTCTGCAGTTCCTGGAATATGAGGAATTTGGTGATGGAGCAACGGCCTGAACTGACAGATCTGCCTGAAATTTGGTGCATGGGAGGTGGCAGTGGGGCTGATGACCTGGTTATTCTCTTTCCATCAGGAAATGAACCCTTCTTGGTCAGTCCCAAGTTTTGCTCAAAGGACCAAGCGATGGTTTGGTTTAACTCAACAATGCTGTCATTTCTGCTGTAATTATTGGACTAGATGGTTGGGCAACTCAATTGCTATTTGCTCTTGTCCTTCAAGCAAATAACATTTTCATCAGAGCCCAGGAGATCGAGACTCAGGATTCAGATTAGAGTTTTGGCTGTGGCTGGGACAGGAGTTGTGTGTAGACATCCCTCGAGAGGGCCTGGGCACAGGGGCGCCTCTGGGCCAGCCTGGAGCCACTTCTGCCACTGACCAATTTCTTGTTTGTGGATAAAGCAGCACGTGTCACCCCCATACATCCCCTGGACACATCAACTGCACTGTCTGACCACTCAACCCTCACTGTCGTATAGCACAAAATATCCAACTTCACCACCCCCAGCCTAAAGGCTGGGCCTGAGGTGTGGTCGGAGGAGGAGCTCCTGCCTGCAGTTTTGTGTCCGTGTGTCTGTGTGTGTGTGTTTAGGTGTGTGTTTACCTCCACAGGGGTGTAAGTTATGCTGGGAACAGGGCCACCAGTGTGGCTGGATCTCAGTCTCTCTTTCTCTTTTCCTTTTGATGTATCAGACATTTGACTGACAAAGAAAGGGCCTTGATTAGGACCAAATTTCCATGTGTGTTGCGATGGTCTTTCTTAGGACAGCAGTTAACAACGCAGTGGCCCGTTCTTGTCACTCTATGACAATACAGGACAGATGTAATATACAAATATATATATATAACATTACCCTATGTCTCCTTGGCTTAGGATGAGGCCTCGCTGTTGAGCAGAAATGCACTTGCAGTTCAGTGCTGCCAGCAGCTGCAGGCCCCAGCCCTGTTCCGATGAACACAGTGATAATAAAGGAATGAGTATCGTTACAGCCGGTGGCTTGCCTGCTCTTCCCTTTGTTTCTTCCTACTTTCACCACCTTCTCGTTTTCTCCTGTCTCTCTCACTCTTATTTTTCCAGTAGGGGCTCAAAAATATTTGGAGCCCAGCTGCACCTTGAAAAAGAACTGGCTGCATAATAAAAGGGGATCCCTCTGCCCAGCTGGACTGAGGACTAGGCTCAAGCTCTGGTCTGAAGTCTGTGCCCACAGCAGCTATTTGTGTTTAGGCTCGCAGTCTCTGTCCAGTTAATTCTGAGTTGTTAACTGATTTCAAAACAGCCTCAGTGGTGTCCAGATTTGACTGCTCTACCCCATCTGCTACACTTATCAGCCAAGAGAGATTAAAGCAGGAAATAATGTGTGGAAGACACATAGAGGTGCCTAAGACATGTTGGCACTGAGTCAAAATAAATTGAAAGACTAGTTTCTCCTTATCCTCTGTTCCCAGGGCCTCTCCCCTCCCTCTGGATTCTAGCTATTGGCTGCCTGTAGCTTGGGGAGGTCTTACAGGAAATGAGAAGTAGCTGCTGCAAAAAAGCAAACACAAAACCCCTGCACCCAGGGGAGTTCTGAAGTTGGCCTGGTACGAGAAGCATGCAGTGTGCCTATTGTCTGAAACCTGGAGTTTTCCCTCAAGGCCACCTCCCTCTCGCCGGGCCTCAGACATCCAGGGCTGGGGTGCCTCTGCTGTTGAGAGGGGTCTACCAGGTGTTGTGTTTGATCTTTCATGCATGAAATCTTATTTAACCTCCCAAGGGGGAATTATTGTCATCGGTTTCAAGATGAGATTTTTTTTTTTAAGTTATCTTTTTAAAAAAAGATTTATTTATTTATGCATACAAGAACTGGGGTACAGATCAGAAGTGTGGGGGGTAAGAGGATTCACCAGAGATAGTGGGGAACAGAACAGGTGGATCCACCAAAATGCACTGCTGAGGGGAGCAGCAGGTGAGACAGGAGAGGTCTGTTGTGCCATGTGGGTCAGCTCCCTGCCAGCGGAGCACAGTGCTGTGCTTAACCCTTGCACCAGCCCTCAAGATGAGATTTGAGGACATGAACTTGGTTAAAGATAGAAAGTGACTAGAAACCAGACTTCCAGACTTAAAAGTCTGTGTTTATTTCTGTGCCACGCTGCCTCTCCAGTCCACCTAACATGTACCGTCCAGGTTTTACGTGTCATGGAAGCTGCAGACAGAAGGGCTGAGTGAGTGGGGATTAAGCCAGATCTCCAGACCCTCGACCTAGGAGTCCTGTGAGAAAACTTCCCACTAGCAGTGAGCTCCCCTCTGTGGCTAAGAGCAGGGCCACAAAATAGCCAGTGGAGAAAACTCCCCCCGCCCAGGTCTTCTGTTGACAGTTTGCTAATAAAGAAACTGCCATGTTTCACTTCTTCTCCAACACCCAGCACCTAATCTCCAGAGCTCTTCCTGTTTTCAGTTGTCATGGCTGGAGCATGTGTGTGTTAGAACTCTGGGCCGTTGCTATGCTTCCAGTTAAGCTGTCCCAGCCACAGAAGTGCGCTGTGGACCTCCAGGCCAAGGGCAGAACAGGCCTCCAGAATGACCATCAGAGACTCAAAAACCACAGAGAGCCTCTCTTTTACTTCACTTCTCCTTTCTGTGTGGGGTTCATAGTCTCTCCTCAACTGCTCTAGCTCACGGCAGAGAACATGCACCTGCCAGCAGCTCATAGCTTGCGTTATTCAGTCATGGGGAGAACTTTGAATCTCAGTCCCAAGGCAAATTCGTGTGAATGTGATTCCACTTCAGCATTTGGGTCAGGTGTGTGGAACATGATCTATGAACAAGACCTCCAAGACTCCTGTTGCTGTAACTGTGTATGGGGGTGGTGGTGGAGATAAAAATATTTCTCAAAGAGGGCCTCCCTAGTGGTGCAAGCGGTTAAGCACAGCCCTGTGAAGCTATCCGCATGCAGCCTCTGCAGCACGAGTTCGATTCCCGGCTGGCCAGGGAGTTAACCACATGGCGTGCAGACCTCTCCTGTCTTGCCCGCTTCTCCCCTCAGCAGTGTATTTCAGTCTGCCTGTTTTGTTCCACACTTTGTGTCTGGGGAATCCTCTCACCCCCCACACCTCTGGCCTGTACTCCAGTTCTTGTATGCAGAAATAAATAAATCTTTAAAAAAAATATTTCTCAAAGAAATAGATGATGGAAAAAAAAAAAAAAAGAGGGCCTCCCTGGTGGCGGAAGTGGTTAAGATGCAACCTATGAAGCTATCCATAGCCACTGCAGCCCGAGTTCAATCCCCAGCCAGGGAGCAACCCACATGGTGCAGCAGACCTCTCCTGATCCACCCACTGCTCCCCTCAGCAGTGTATTTCAGTAGATCTGCCTGTTCTGTTCCCCACTCTGTCTGTTGAGTCCTCTCACTCCCAACACCTCTGGCCTGTACCCCAGTTCGTGTATGCACAAGTAAATAAATCTTTAAAAAAAAAAAGAAACATGATGGGGTGAGAATGGGGATAGCAGTGGGGGTGGAGTGTGTTCTGGGTAACAAGACAAATGCCCATGACCATTGTGTCCATCACCTATAATGGCTTAAGAAATGTTTGCTCCGCATTCATTCTATTATTCTGATCATTCTTACAATGTGGCCTAAGGATCACCAGCATGGAAATTGTCACCCTCAGAGGTTCTGTGTCATTAATTCAGGATAGACCCATGTGGTTTTTATCCTGACACGATAGGTTGCATTTCTCTTCTTTTTTTCCTTTGAAGATTTATTTATGTATGCATACAAGAGCTAGGTGCAGGCCAGAGGTGCGTGCAGGGAGTGAGAGGATTCACCAGAGTGGGGAACAGAACAGGCTGATCTACTGAAATACACTGCTGAGGGGAGCAGAGGGTGAGACTTGGAGAGGTCTGCTGCTCCATGTGGGTCAGCTCCCTGGGCAGGGATCCACCTCATGCTGCAGTGGCAGCAGATAGCTTCATAGCACTGAGACTTTAACCTCTGCGCCATCAGGGAGGGCTTCGTCTACATTTTTTTTTTTTTTTAGAATTAATTAATTAATCAATTTATTTATTTATTTATTTATTTATTTATTTATTTATACAAGCACTGGGTACAGTCAGAAGCGCGGGAGGGTGAGAGAATTCACCAGAGCCAGAGCGGGGAGCAGAGCAGGCAGAAGGACCGAAGTACACTGCTGAGGGGAGCAGCGGGCGGCAGGAGAGGTCTGCGCGCCATGCGGGACCCTCCTCCAGTGGCCGGGGAGCAGGTGGGGATTGAACCGGCGCCGCAGAGGCTGCAGGCAGCTTCGCAACCCAGCGCTCAACCGCTGCGCCACCGGGGAGGCCCTTCGTCTACATTTTTAATGAAAGATGAAGAACACAAATGGTAATAAACTTAGAAAAAAAGGACCAACTTCAGTTCTGCAATTCAGCGACTTTTGTATTTGGTTGATTAACTTGTGTATAAGAGAGGGAAAGAGAAGGAATGGATTTGCAGAGAAGCAATAAAGAAAGACATGAGAGGGCCTCCCCGGTGGTGCAGCGGTTGAGCGCTGGGTTGCGAAGCTGCCCGCGGCCTCTGCGACGCCGGTTCGATCCCCAGCTGCTCCCCGGCCACCGGAGGAGGGTCCCACATGGCGTGCAGACCTCTCCTGCCGCCCGCTGCTCCCCTCAGCAGTGTACTTCGGTCCTTCTGCCTGCTCTGCTCCCCGCTCTGGCTCTGGTGAATTCTCTCACCCTCCCCGCTTCTGACTGTACCCAGTGCTTGTATAAACAAAACAAACAAACAAATAAATCATAAATAAATAAAAATACATGCCTCTTTAAAAAAAAAAAAAGGAAAGACATGAGAGAGCTCAGTCCTAGGACCTCCTCTGGGAAGCACCCTATCTTGGAAGGACAACGCCCTGGGAGCAAAGGCTGAGGGATCAGCTGGAGTGCTGTGAGCTCCTGCCATGCTCTCCAGCTCATGGGCCAGGGAGCCAAGGAAAGTGCAAGTTTACTTTTGAAACCATTTGAAGGGTACAAGAATTTCAATGTCATCCCTGCAAAGAAAAAGCAGATTTTTCTCCTTCTATGATTATTTAATTTCTGAAAATGTATGACAATGCAATGTTGTATTTCCCCAGGGGCTTCTGTAAGCTTTGCCAGCATCTGAAGACCTGCCTTGGGGCTCAGATATTTCTCTCCAGGTCTGCCTGGCATCCTCAGTGGAGCAGCCTGGCAGCTCCCTTTGATCTGCAAAAGCTGCCTGACTCATCTCCCTTCTTGCAGAGATCAGGGCTGGCTATGTCACAGCACCGGCAATCTCCAGTTGTTCACGACCCTTCCCCTTGTCAAATTAAATCCTTATTTTGATTGCATTTTATTCCACCCGAGCAGAGAAAACAACTTAAAGGAAGAAATTGGTTTTTGCACTAAGCCCAGTAGGGGAGAGTTGCTCTTTATCCCCTGCCTCTCCCGGCAATGGGAACCCCAGAGACCAATCTAGTCCTTACACCCCTCACCCCCAGGAATTGCAGAGCTCCCAAGCCGCCCCCACTCAATTTGCTTTACAAAGAGAAAATAATTCTTAGTGAGCTGTTGAGAACCTGCATTCTATCTGAAGAGGGGGGAGGGGAGAGTAGGGGAGCAGTGAAGAGAGACCTACTGAGTAAAGAGAGGTGTGATACCTGAAAAAATTCCACTCAAACACCCACGCACCTGTACAAAACCCCTGTTGCCAGCTAGAACATGGAATCCAGTTCGGGGAATGAATATTTATAATATTCTTCATTTCATCAGCGAAGTGAAGGGTGATGATCACGGTGTTTCAGAAAAGGCATTTCATTCACTTCCTGGCTATTTGCCCAGGACCTACAAAACACAAGCAACATGTGAAGTGCCCCTCCCAGCAGAGCCCCTGGCCTCTGCCTAGCTCACATTTCCCTGCTTCTCCCTTTGCCATCACATCACGCCTGACACTGAGAGAGCAAAACTGATGTCTCAGTTTCTAGCTTTGCTTTCACCTTCCCTCTGTCCTGCTTCCCCTTAGTACAGTCTCCACACAGTAGCCAAAGAGATATTTCGCAGAAAAGAGTGTGTATTTAAAATGTAAAATAAGGGCCTATCTTCAGTCACTGCAGAGGGAGTTCAATCCTAAGCCAGGGAGCAGCCCACATGGCTCAGCAGGCCTCTCCTGTCTCACCCGCTGCTCCCCTCAGCAGTGGATTTCAGTAGATCCACCGCTACTGCTCTCCACTCCGTCTCTGGTGAACCCCCCCAACCCCCGCCCCCCACCTCTGGCCTGTACCCCAGTTCTTATATGCATAAATAAATAAATCTTAAAAAATAATAAAAGACAGGTTGCAATTGTATGGGGAATATAAAAATAAAATAAAAAAAATAAAAAAAATAAGACAGCCGAGTCCTAGTGCTGTGGTGATGACAAGCTGCTTAGTTTTGCAAAACTATTTCCAAAAAGATTCCTGAAGGAGGTGATATATGATCAGCTCTGGATGGCTGTGTGCAGCTACGTAGGCAAGAAAAGCAGGGCAATCTAGGCAGAGGAAATAATAAATGTAATGTAAATGAAAAACTGAAATACACTGTTGAGGGGAGCAGTGGGTGAGACAGGAGAC